AACTCCCGCTCACCGAACCATGTGGGCGCCGTCACAGCGTCTCGGTCAGACGGCGACAAGAGTGAAGGCCGGACAGGAGGCCTGGCACCTGCGCAAAAGCATCCGTTTGAGATCTCATTATGCAAAAAAAAAAAAAGCAAAAAACAAACAAACAAAAAAAAAAAACCCCACAAACCTGCAAAAGAAGCTCAAATCATTTCTGCTGACATTTTCGACTTTGCACCCCAGCATGGAAAGCAAATTACCTGTTTTTCTTTTGATTCCCTCCTGGCTCAGCTTTGCGTGCGCGACCCGGCGGGAACGCAAACAAAAACGTCTTCCTCTCTGCTGTCCCCAAACGCGTGTGAGCAGGTCTCGACACTGCCCTCCTCGCTGTGGCTCTGTGCGAGTCTGCCTACCGTTGTCTTTCACTCTTCCTTCCTTTTTGTCGCTCCTTTCACCAAATAGTGAAAGCCCCGACAGGAACCAGAAGAGCTGACAAAGGCGGAATTCCTCCCTTCTTTTGTTTTTGTTTTTTTGTTGGTGTTCTAAGTGACAGTCACGGGAAATCACAAGAAATCCATATTACAAATGCATTGGGATCTTCGGTGAGCCTCGAGCGAGTCGGTTTAAGCGCAGGTCAAACATTGTCTGTTGGCATTCTGAAAAGAATTTCCAAAGAGGTTGTTCAGCAATTTTTTTTTTTTTTTTTTGGTGCCTGGGGCCCCCTCCCCCCCCGTCTGGCCTTGTCTGCTGCTACTGCCGTCTGTTGCAGGTGTGTGCGCGCGCATGTGTGACAACACAAAGGTCAGCGACACTGTACACTTCCTTATTCGCAGCTCAATACTGAGTGTGAGTGTGTGTGTGTGTGTGTGTGTGTGTGTGTCCCCGTATGCAAAATCGTTTCAACACAAAAACTGACAGGAGTTTCCCACCATAATGCAACACTTGCATCAAAAGGGAGGACATGTTATGTGCAGCTGACATGCGTTCGTTCTCTGGCTGTAATATCAGAGTGGATATAAAAAGTGTACACACCCCTGTTCAAATGCCAGTATTTTCACGACAGGAAAAAAATTCACCATCACGATCGAGCTTTTCAAAACGTTGTCCACTATTAATGTGGTCTACAACCTGGACAACTCAATTGAATTTTGTCCCCCCCCCCCCCTCTCCGAGAAGGCGAAGGGGGATTGAAAACAACTCAAATAAGAAGGTTGCGCAAGTGTGCACACTCTCCTTATGGCTGGAATGTGGCGGTGTTGGGAATGAACCAATCACATTCAAACTCATGTTCAAGGGGAGTTAGCTCACATCCGCCGCCATTGAATGGGCCTCCGCTCAATCTCAAATCAAATTCAGCTGCTCTCGTAGGCTTTTCCTGACATCTTTGTCGTCACATCTTACAGCAGAGGTCATGGTCCGCTGAGCTTCTTATCATCATACAATCCAAGGTATTAAACATACAGACGTATTAACGGAACACAGTGAAAACAAAATAAAACACACATATATGTGTTTTTTTTACATGTACATGTTTAAGGCCAAACATGGGACAAAACATAAGGCAGAAAACATTCAGCCATTTCCAGGGTACAACAAGAATTATATAATATTCCCTCATGTTTTTTTGTTTGTTTTGGTCTGATTATTCACCATATTAGATAAAATTCACAAGAGTGACCTCTTGTATGCCAAATAACGAGACAGCATGGAGGTAGCTCAACTGCTTTGTCCCTTGGTTAAAATGAATAATATCATAATAATAATTTGGAAACAATATTTTTGTATTTTACTGTAAGGCTCGCCTTTTAAAAACCTTGTGGTCCCCATAACGCGGAATAGATCTCCAAATAACACACAGCGCACACCATGACCAAGAGGAATGGGCAAAGTCAGGCCATCCAAGCATGAAGCATCACAATCAAAAAGACTCGCGGCGAAACAATTTCCAAGCGCATCTTTTTATCTTTGCCGTGACATTTGCAAAGATGTTGTCGACTAACAATCACATGATCTCCTGCTGCCGATGACCTACTAACACGCGGCAGAGAGAAAAGTAGCGGCCTTACTATGAGGACCCAAACGCGGCACGTAATATAGGAACTTGGAAACAGACAAAGACACATTTGTCTACTCACCCACGTCATTCTTGTTCCTCTTCACACGGCAGCGAGACCGGCTTTGTGGACTTTTCTGCAGGAAATGATGAATTGAGAATTTGAGATCACGTTGAACTAAACCTCAGGACTCGCAACTTTTGCAACGTTTCACCTCCTTCCGTATATTTCGTCGCCTGAAAGGTCCACTGGTGATGAGATGAGACTGCCGCCCTGCAATTTGCTTTAATTTTCTTCAATTGCCGGGAGATAAGATGCTGCTTCCTGACCGGGTCTTTGGCTGTTCTTCCTCTGGAAAAAAACTCTTATCAAGTTATCTTGTTGTGTAAAGTACACATACATTAGACAAAAGTATTGGGACACCTGAGTTTCACAATTTCATGAATGGTCCCAAAAATAATTTACTTACTATAAAGAACAAATTGGTTCATCAATGCACGCTTGTGACGTATTGATGGCTGAAACATAAAAAACGTTTTTTGGGGGAAAAAAAAAAATGACAAAGACATTTCCTTCCGGAATGCCATTTTTTCGACGTGTCAAATTCACCAATGAGAAAATCCTTTGTAGATTTTGCGTGTTAATATGGCAGAGCAAAAAAAAAAAAAAGCCAGAGGGACAATAATTAACTGCTGTATCCTTTTTATGGGTAGCATAACCAGGTGGTTTGTCTACATATGGCACAGGTGTCAAATTCAAGGCCCGGGGGCCAGATCGGGCCCGCCACATCATTTTATGTGGCCCGCGAAAGCAAATCAAAGATGTCATATTTTGTTCACTATTCATTGGTACCCCACATCATGTTTTTTTTTTTTTAACCCATTCTTAATCCATTTCAAGTGTTGAAAATAACTTCAGTCAGACTTGAATAAGTCTGTTTTGTTATAAATGGATTACCATAATGCTCCTATGCAGAAGGAGCTGGTCAGCTCCAAAGCGAAGGATGGATGTGTACACCGTGCGGATTGATTTTTTTTGTCTTCTTCGCCCTTATTTCCTTGTCCTCTTGGATTTCGGACGACGTCATTTGCCCGAATAGAGCTCTGGAAACACTTTAACCCCAAGAGGTGTGACCAATTACTTTTGCCTCGATTCCTTATTTCTAAAGCTTCCGTATGGAAATAGGCTCAGGCTTGACAGACGACAAAAGAATTGAAGACACTTACAAATTAAGGTTGCAAAACCCCAAAACACTTGAAAAACAGCTGACCTTTTATTGTGGCCCATTGAAAAAAAAAAACAAACGTGATAAAAACAACAAGGTGGTCATCTTAAGAACGATACATGTACAGAAACGATTTAAGTTAGATTGCCGACACGTCCCCAAAACCGCCCCCACCCCCGCCTTTCCTACAACCTTCCTGGCGCGTACCTTATTTTGAGCAAAATACAGGAGCTTCCGGGGATCTGAGGAATGTCTGGGTGCACGTTGATACGCGAGCCGATCAGCAGGCTAGTTCAAGTGATGTCACGGGGGGGCGGGTATTTTGGGATGGAGGTAACAATAAGAGAATCAAGACGTGAACAGCTCCCACTCGCGGTGACGTCATGTCATCATGCAGTGGCGCACCAAATCCGGTCTGTTCCGCTCACATACACATACAGTATAATGATAAATGCACAGTGCAAAAGTGTTGGGACACCATTTGTTGCTTCATTTACGACCCCTGGATTTTCTCCAGCGCGGTTGCCCTCGTTTCCAAACGACCACGCACTCGCCACCGTTTCATTTTGTTTTTAAAGCAGCTAGAATTTAAGGATCCACGTGTGTCATCGCACGAATCGGCCTGCCGATGCGAAATGAAACGCAGGCCATACTGTTTAAGTGTCACGACTAATTCTTAGGATTATCTGGCCGACTAATTTATCGAGTCATTCAAACAGCAAAGGTAATGGTGACCCAAGACTTTTGCACAGTGCTGTACATACAATGACATCGTCGAAAAGTTTCTTCAGTCCGGTAGTTCAATTCAAAAAGTGAAACTTGCCATGACAGATACTTTAAGAAACACTGGACGATATTTTTAAGAAGGCCAATTTCTTGCCGATTTCTGAATGAGAAAAAAAAAAAACAAAAAAAAAACATTTTGGATTGTTTGGTAAATATTCAAAATGTGTTGATGAGAAACGAAAGATACAAATTTCCCTTTTGGGTTGGAACTACTGAATCAAATGAAAGCTCTCCACAATACTTGACGCGAGACGCACCTGTAAATACCATCGACAGACAAACACGTTAAGGTGAGAACATTACAACTTTTCAAGGAAAAAAAACAAAACAAAACAAAAAAAAAAAAACAAACAGCATCAAATGACACAATTTCCGACGAGGGGAAAAAGAGGCAGAAAAAAAAAATAATAATAAAAAAAAAAATCAGTTCAATAGTCCATTTGCTTCCAAGAGTCCAAGCACTGCAACAAAGATCTGGGGTTTCATTTTTCCGTGTACACTGTACACGGATGCACATGACTCGGGACAGTTCGGCCATGTTTGAGGAGATCCTTCTTTTTATGACTTCCAGTCTCGGGCGTCCCGTTCAACAGATGACGATCCTTTGGGTTCAGTGACAAGCGGTGTGTGTGCGTGCGCGTACCGAGGACGACTAACCTGTCTGTGCTGTACAAGGTGGTTGAAGGGGGGGGAACGGGGTTCAGGCGGTGAAAAGTTCCCGCCTCAGCGCGAAACCTGCATCTGCTGCACGCTCTGCGACGGGTTCTGGGCGGTCACCTCGGGCCCGCGGCTGGCCAGCCTGCTGAGGATGTTCCTCTCGGACATTTGCAGCCGCACGGCCACGGGCGGTATCCTGGCGATGGTGGCCGGAAGGCGCGTGACGTCCGCCTTCATGTCGCTCAGCAGCTCCTCCAGCTGTTTGAGAACTGGAAGGTAAAAAAAAAAAAAAAAAGAAAAAAAAAAACAAACAAACAAACAAAAAAAAAAGCAACTCAAGCTTGAGCGTTGTCACTTCCGACGTAGCGTTGTGACTTTGGGCTCGTAAACTTATTTTTAGTCGTGTCAAATGAGCGTTTACCTTTATGCAGAACTGCATTGGCTGGCTTGTTTCCTGACATGGACTCCTTGCTGAGGTGCTGGTGGGACTCGGCCAGACACTCCACCTCGCTGAAGCGCGTGTTGAGCGCCATGGAGGGGTGGGCCGGATCCTCCGTCATGTTGAGGTAGGCCGCCCGGCGTAGCTGCTCCTCAATCACCAACGCTTGCTCCAGTAACTAAGAGAGGACGATATTTGACCAGTCAGCACACCGAGGGCATTCGAGGCATCCATTGAGCTTTCGCATTCACACAGCGGGGGGGCGGGCGTTGAGTTCACCTTGAACCTGCGCGCCAGGAACTTGTTCTTGATCTCCAGGAAGTTCCCCCTGCTCATTTCCCCCTTGAAGGGCTCGTTGAGAATGGCGAACCTGACATCGTTCTGCACGTCCTGCCATCGGGCGTAGCCGTGTCTGAGGAAAAATCACGGTCAAGCCAACAACAACTTTGGTTTGGGAATCGTTGACAAGCGTCTGTGAATGCCCGTCTTTGCTATTGCAAAGTCAACGTGAAAGTAGCTCGCCGACTGAAATGCTATTTGAGATGTAAATGAAACTGGGTGTGTCATGACTGCCAGACACTGCCGTTTTTGACCCTAAGTATCACGTTATGAAGGGAGCACAGCGTAAGAGGTCTCGACGTTCTTGTTATTTGATGTGAAAAGCGCGAAGCCTCATGCAAATGATTCATAGCCTCCAGAAAACTGTAAAAAAAATCAACTTGAGTCAATGTGCAACGATAGGATACTGGATGATCCCAGCCAGGAGCCAGTAGTCATGGCGACGGTGCCAGATCTCAAAGGTCTTCTTCGTGACGGTGGCTGCCCTCTCCTCATTCTGCCAGAGGGAGTGAAGCTCTGCAGGGCAGAAAGGTTATGAGAGAGACAAAAAAAAAGCAAGGAAACGTGTATGTGTGTGGTATTCCCCCCCCACCTGTGAAGCCTCCGTCCGCGATGTTGAACATGAACCTCTGCTTGCTCGCTTTCCTCTTCTCTTCACTCACATTCAACACGGACAGAGCGCCTTCTCTGGTGTTCTCTCCATTCTGAAGTCGGCTCGATTCCTCCGATTTCACGCCGTCTTTATCCTCTTGTTGATCTGTGGGAAATTAGACAGAGGCACGAGCATGAGATCCGGCCTGAGTAGTGTGTCGGACTTTGTCCTGATAAATTTAGATTTGCATCGGAATGGCGGTACTAAATTGACAATATGTTTGGCGCCGAAGTAGAACTGAATGACAGCCTCTCAGAGGTAAATAACTTTTGTAAAATGCGTGTAAGTGAGCATGCGCACCTTTGTCTGTGTCCATCTTTTCATCTTTAGCATCTTCACCTAAAAAACAAAACAAAAAAAGATTCAAAGCACATGCCAATAAAATAAAAGGAGGTGTCAAAAAACAAAACAACAACAACAAAAAAAGCCCGACCTTTAGATCGATCCTCCGCATCCGTTTTGTCCTCAGTTCCTTCACCTTTGACATCAGCAGGAACGGCTTTGTCGCCCTTCTCCTCTCGGTCCTTGCTCAAGTCGGTGCCGTTATTCCCTTCATCGGCACCTCGCGTCTCCTTCTCTTTCTCCTCCTTCCCCGCAAGGTCATCGTCTTTGCTTTCAGAGGCTGGCGACTTGTCGGACTCATCTGGGATTTCGATAATCTAAGGCAAAGAAAATGGTGATGAGTTTGAAATGAGGGTCAATGCCATTAATGTCACCGATGACACGCGTGAGTGAGGAATGACCTCTGGATCGTCTGGCTTTCGGGCTACTTTGGTGTCCTCCGCATCCTTCTTGATGTCCTCTTTGTCCTCTGATCTTGAGAGATCCTCTGTTCACACAAAGTCAGAAAGAGCAACGGCAGCTGCAGCAATGAACCCAACTTTGAAACTCAACTGTATTTCTTGAGCGCTCGAAAAACAAACCACCGCTGTAGACAAATTGCTGCACATGGAGCAAAAATAATCCATACAACAACAAACAATAAATTAATAACAAAGACGGTAGAAGGCGCAAAAACAGCCCAACGAAAAATCACGCTGCGGAGTCATTTCAAGATTTGAAAACAAATAAGAGGATCTTCAAATGAAGTCCAAAATGAGCCAGTGAAGAAATGCCAGGGTAGGATTATGTGCTCCCTCTTACGAGTACCGGTTAAGAGGCAAGTAGCAGCATTCTGGACCAACTGGAAATGCTTCATGGAGGATTGGTTGACTCCAAAGTAAAGCGCATTACACTAACGAAGACCAGATGTGACAAAGACAGGAATGAGTGTTTCAAAGTGAGAAAGGAGAAGGCTGCCTAAAAAGAAAGAAGCTGGCTTTAACAACGGAACCAATTTGCCGGTCCAATTTAAAATCACTGTCCCGTTTAAGACCCGAGTCTGATTGAGGTTAAAGGTTGAGCTTTGGATATGTGTGTACCTGGCACAGGAGTGTTCGGTTGCGTATCCGCG